TCACAGTGTAGAACCTTACAAATGAGGGAAAGGAAGAAGGATGCTGTTTCTGGCTGGGGAGAGATTAATTGAAGAGGTCTTGTCTTGCTTGTCAGTTAAATTACATTCCAATTCATCCCTTTACCAGCATCTCTATTTTAAAAGCCTGAGGAAGGTTAGTTTCAAATATAAGCAAGAGCTACACTTTTCTGACTAATCCAAGCTGAATTTACCTAGTCTATTTTGTGACAGAAAAATATACAGTAACCCCTTTGCATACAGATATTTGTAAATATTATTGCAGAATACTATTTTTAAAAATATTTAGACAGGATATTTATGTACATTGTATTCCTACGCATGTCCCAAGTGGCTTACAGAAAATGAGGGGTGGGGAGGAAGGATCTGGACTACTAACTTTAAAATCAGCAAAACAGTACAGAACATCTTTAAAACACTTATAAACATCCATCTAAGGGAAGGTCCCAGAGGCCAAACAAAAAAAAAGAAAAAGAAGCTTTACACACTTTTAAAGGTAAAGCAAAGAAGGCCATTCCCTCAGTTTCAAAGGGATGTCATCCCACCTTTCAGAATATTTGGCTTCACCTTCAGAGCAGAGACAACTGTTCTTTCCCACAACACCATAAATGAGCAACTTATGCTACTATAGTTCAACCCTCACAGATCTTGTAAGAAAAAGGAAAAATATAAGACTTCTTCAAGCAAAATGAATTTAGTATTAGCCTACTCTTTCCATTTCCTGCTCCATTTCTAAACAGAAGCTGGATATCAAGGAGGTGCCTTTGAATGACAGACAGAAGATTAAACTACTGTACATTCTGCTGGAGCCATAAGTGATGTGGGTTGAATTAATGGATAAGATAGCAAGCACTAGGGCTTGACACCCTGCTTCAAGTCTTTCTATTCAAAATATATTACAGCCCCCTCCATCTGATCTGATTGCATGCAGTCATTGCACTTTTAATAAGTGCCCAGTGAAATCATAAGGAACAGAAAATTTCCAAATTCACAATAACCATCACTGCAGATATAACATTCTTCTAATGTAGTATATTTAGTAACAGTTACACTTTGTCCCATACAAACCTGAATAACTTAACACAAGAGATAACAATGAAGCAAAAACAGGTTTGCATTCCACTTTACTTTAAAACTACTGAAAGAACTACTAACATAACATTTACAGGGATCATATGCAAGGGTGGGATAGCAGTGGACTCATTCTAATTCATCTAACAGAAAGCCAGTCCAACACACTTTTCTGCATCAGGCAAAGGACAGGAATGCAGCACTTTATAGACTGTTCCTACTGTGAAGAGAAGCTGAAACGAAACACTGTTCAATACTGTTTCAGTACCGCGATGGGATAGCACCTCCACCAAAACACCAAAACACAAGGGAGAACAGCCAAGATTAGGTAGTGCAGAACAGGTTGTGTAACTTTAAAGAGAAAATATGTCTTCTGAGTGGAGTGGTGGTGGTCTAGAACAGTGGTTCCCAACCTTGGATCCCAAGATGTTCTTGGACTAAAACTCCCAAAACCCCTCACCATGAGCTGTACTGGTCAGGATTTCTGGGAGTTGCAGTCCAAGAACACCTGGGGGCCCAAGGTTGAGAACCACTAGTCTAGAATAGTTGCAGAGCTGCTAGCACTATATTCCAGTATCTGCTGTTCGTGGCAGCAGCCTCGTGTGATAAGAGCACCACCAATTTACATAGACACACTAAAACATTTCAAGTATTACTGAGTGAGTAATTTCCAGATGTCTGGGGACTGTACAAGGCAATTCTACAATCAAGAAGTTGTGTAATTGCTAGCACTGGCCTCCACAAGAAGGGGATGCAGAGAGGGTGGGTGTGAAACATCTGCAAATCATTTTCAAACGTAGAGACTGGAGATTCCTTTTTTTCTTTTTTAAGATTGCAGTATTAACCACTTACTCCAGATTTCCAGTCAGTCCAGATTCTCCACCAGTTTTACAAACATGGTTACACTGCTGGTTGTTGTGCGTTTTTCGGGCTCTTTGGCCGTGTTCTATAGGTTGTTCTTCCTGACGTTTCGCCAGTCTGTGGCCGGCATGTTCAGAGGACTGGAGTAAGAACTCTGTCCTTCGCGAATACATGGTTACACTGTGTTCACTTAATGATACAAAACAGCAGGGATGTTGGCAAGTCCCAAGTCTGAATCTTTGGGTCTGATAGACAGGCACTTACATAAAGAGCGGGCCAACTTCCCTTCCTGAAGCTGGCTTCTGCCTTTGTGGATGCTCACCTATCAGCTGGGCAGCAACTGAAAGATTGGAAACAGCAGGCTCAGCTCCTGGAAGCGAAGTTGGCCCGCAGCCTCTGAGGATGGTGCCACCGCCACACGCACCCCACTGCTATATCTTCTGCCACCACCAGGCCAGCCCCCCTACTAGGACCACCTCCACTGCCACTAGGAAGACCTTATCCACTGCTGCTAGAATCCACCCCCAGCTAGACCCCTTCTGCAGCTGTTAGAAGCCACTTCCACTGCCTTCATGTGATATGCCCCCTTACCTGTGCTGGGGCTGCTGTGTCCTCAGTGGGGGCTCCATTGTCTTCTCCTCCTCCTTACCCCAAGAGGCCCAAGGAAGATGAAGAATAGACAGGCCCTTCACCTTCTTGCTGCAGTTGCATGAGCAGGTGAAGAAATCTTAAAAGGGAGCCACTAATGAAGGGGTGGAGCTTACATACTCCACCCACCCCTTTGGCTTGCCCAGAAAACAGCTGCCTCCTCCAAGGTTAAGTGGAAACTTCCCTCCCTCCTCTATACTCTAGATTAGGCATCCTTCAGTCTCAAGAGACTATGGTAACATGTTCTGTATGGAGGACTTGGAACCGCATCTAGTGTGGCTGAGGAGGTCAATTTGAGAGTGACAGTCCCTTCCACACTGAAGACAAATACTATCTGTCCCCTGTCCAGCTCCCTGATTTGGCTGGTTTCGGGTCTGCCTCTTTGCCTCGGCCTGCTGGACAACGGTCTCTTCAAATTGGGAGAGGCCATGCTGCACCTCCTACCTCCAGGCTGAACGCTCAGATATCAAGGTTTCCCATCTGTTGAGGTCCATTCCTAGGGCCTTCAGATCCTGCTTGCAGATATCCTTGGATTGCAGCTGTGGTTTCCCTCTGGTGCGATTTCCCTGCACTAATTCTCCATACAGGAGATCTTTCGGAATCCGACCATCAGCCATTCTCATGACATGCCCAAGCCAACGTAGACGTTGCTATTTCAGTAATGTATACATGCTAAAAATTCCAGCTCATTCTAGGACTAATCTATTTGGAACTTTGTCCTGCCAGGTGATACCAAAAATGTGTTGGAGACAACGCATATTGAACATGTTCAGCTTCCTCTCCTGCCGTGCACAAAGGGTCGAGGACTCACTGAAGTACAGGAGTGTCCTCAGGACACAGGCTCTATAGACCTGGATCTTTCCTTTCAATTCCAGGCACGTCCACAGCTGAGCGTCCTTTCGGCTTTGGACCAACCACTTCATTAGCTCTGGAGCTACTTGTACTTGTCCTCCGCTCTTCCTCAGTAACATGTTGGACTCCTTCCGACCTGAAGGGCTCATCTTCCAGCTTCATATCTTTTAGCCTTTTGTTTCTGTCCATAGAGTTTTCTTGGCAAAGATACTGGAGTAGCCTGCCAGTTCCTGCTCCAGGTGGATCGTTTTTAGCCAGAAGTCTCCACTATGAACTGTCTGTCTTGGGTGTCCCTGCATGGCATAACCCGTAGCTTCTCTGAATTACTCAAGCCCCTTCGCCAGGACAAGGCAGCAATCCATGAAGGGGTCGTAGAAGCATATTTAGTTACAAATAAACTATATGAAAAAAAATGCAGTATACTTTTGCTTCAGCTCAGTTGCCTAATCCCAAATGAGATCACAGAAAATTATAAGCTGACAACTACTTAAGTTATAATTTTAAAAAGGAATTCTCTATTTTAAATTATATGAAAAGATTACACTGAGACAATGATAGATAAAAAAATTAAAGCAATTTGGTATTATTTTCAAGAGCACATTAAAAAAACTTTAGTATCTAGTGCTGCTTTGGTGCTCTCAGTAAATTATTTTCTGAGTATGCTAGAAGAAAACAATGTTTCTATGACAGTAAATTTTGATTAACCTTACTTTGCTTAATTACAGAGATAACAATAATCTCAATCACCATTCAATGCAACAGAAAGTTACTGGCTTTCACAGCAAGCTGCATTCATAGGAAAATAGAAATTTCAGATATTTTGGTAGTTTCTTTAAAAACAGCACAATAGCACCAAATGACTCATTCCGAATCTTCTGAAAGCCGCTAATTTAGGATAGATGCTTTCTCTTCTCTAAGTGCAGCACTTGCCTGAAGTATCTTGCTGTGTTACCCCAACTCCCACCCCTTCCAAAATAAAAATCTACTGTTTCTGTTCATGTTAAATATAATTTCCACTTTTCTGTTTGGAAGGGAGCTTCTGTCATTAATACAGATAGCTGCAGAACCACTGTATGACTGCAGAGATCACAAAGAATTTTAAACTAGCAATTACTTAAGATATAATTTGAACAAAGAATTCTCCATTTTACATAATATGAAAAGATGGCAAGTGAACCTGAATATTTGATTTCTCCCTTGAACAGTTATATTCGGGCACTTAAGTTTTCATGCAAAATTTTCAGCTACAGAAACCCAATAAAAATTCTACCAGTAGTCTTCAAGTAGTGACACAGCCTCCTTCAGTGAACTCACGGGACAAAATTAAACCTTACTATGGTTAAATATATTCATAATGCAGCAGAGAGGAAAAAATCAAGCTGTTTTATCCCACTATAATTCTCTTTGTCACTTATTCATAAAAGTGAACTAATCATACAAATACCACCCAACTGCAGTTTGATTGATAAGCAAAGCAGTCTACTGATTTAAAACCAGAGTATCAAACATAGTCACGGAACCTGGTAGGATTAAGAACTGCTTAGACTTGGTGTGACTGCACAATTTTATTTTATGAACTGGTATTTGGTTATATATAACAGTGAACATATGATCTGAAAGTTCAATATAGTATACATTCTTTGTGCATACTAGTTTCATCCACAGATCCACACATAGTTTTTTATTGTTATTACACTGCATAGTATTTAAATCTGTTACTGCAGAAACAGTATAGAAACCTACACAATATCTAGTAAGTAAAATAATAGAAGTCTGAAGTAAAAATATAGCCATATCCAAATATTTCAATAAGATTTAAGTATGCCTTCAAAAAATTAAGGCATTAGCTATTTTCTTACCAGTTTTCAAAAAGGATGCATACATGAATTTCAATTTTTCAATCCTCATTTAAAAGATCTACCTTTATACACAAACTAGAACTCTGAATTTATTCATAACCATTCCATCCACTCTTCCAGCTCTGTTAGAAAATATAACCATATACAGTGTCCAGGTAGGAAGTCTGACATTTTCAGGGTCGCTGAAAGAATTAAGGTACTGCTTGCTAAGGAGGATTCATACTCTTAGAAGAAGTAGCAGCAGATGGAGGTGGAAGTGGAGGAGGTGGCGGTGGCGGCAGAGACAGCAATGAGAACAATGGATCATATATATTCTGAGAGCATCCACGAGACCATCCCCAAGTTACAGGTGGGGGTGGAGGTGGAAAATTCGCTTCATTATTAACAGTTTCAAAAGATGGGGGAGGAAAGGAATACTGATGTCTCCACGAACTGTCCTGCCTCCGCTGCTGATAAAAACTTGAAGGCTTCTTAGGTTCAGTGTAATCAGGGTAGTGTTGTGGAGTCCTTGCTGGGTGTCTAAAAAAACGTGGAGGAACAGATGACTGTGGAAATCTTCCCCTTGAAAACCTGGGGTTAGGTTCGCCCCTACAGTATCCACCAAAATAATCTGAAGGATGTTGTCTGGGCTGACAATTACTTCCATTTTCATCTGAGGAACAAATGGGGGGAAGAGAGAAAGATTAATGTTACTAGATTGTTTACAGATGCATAGAAACCAGTGTTGCTGTCTTCAGTGAGGATGCGATTGGAAGATATATTAGTGCATAAGCTGTTCTGCACTAGAGTTCCACCAAATGTAGCCTGCCACATGTTTGTTCATTTATTTCTGTCTTTCCTGCATCTGCCAGGACAGCTGAGTGGAAATCATGTTATCATAGGAAAATGGAAATTGGAAGGCTATTGGAAAGGTAGGAATGAAATGAAGAGTTGTATTTGATAGTTTACACTGGAACATTAAACAAAATATTTGAGTATATGCAACTGTCTTCAACAAGGCTTTAAGTACTTCCATCTGCTTGTTCAACATTACCTTGGAACTTTTCAAGGAAAGGAAAAAACATACTGAGCTCAAAGAGATAAAAGTTGTAATCAGTCATACCGGTCTGGAAATTGAGTCATGGCAACTGGACTTCTTTCTTATTAGGTTGAAACATTTCGCTACTCATCCAAGTAGCTTCTTCAGTTTGGATGAGTAGCAAAACATTTCAACCTAATAAGAAAGAAGTCCAGTTGCCATGACTTAGCTTCCGGATAACCTCACCTGGATGACTGAAAATCTTCACAGATTCAGTCATACTGATATTCAGCTTCTAGATCATTAGCCATTTAGTCTGCTGCAGTAAAAACAAACAGTCCTGTGATATATTCAAGATGAGCAATTATATTATGCCATGTGCTCTCATGGACATTGCCCACTGCATCTGATAAACTGGACAGATAAACACTACAGGAATGGGGGACATAGGAGGAGTCTCCCTGAAGAGTGGAAAAGCATTGCAAGTACACTCAGGAATCCTCTGGGCAATGGCATGCAGCCAACCAATCCTTCACTTCCAGAAGTACTGGACTGTAAATTCGCTAGATCTCCTTTTTCTACAAATAGTCTAATCATCTTAACATTTTAATTTCTTTTTAATTTTACCTATATTTCACATACATCCATAATTTTAAATTGTGCAACACTCTGATACAAATAAAGAAAAAAAAGACTAATTAGTCTTTTGACTTTTCATACTTTGAGGACCAACATAGACAACAGCAGCTACTTACTATAATCTTGTCTGAACTTCTTTCTTCTTATATTCTGAGATTTTTTCTGCTGCTTTGCTGCTCTCTCTTTTTCATCATCACTAAAATCTAAAACCTAGATCAGAACATCTAAGTTAAAACTGGAAAATGACTTTGAGAAACAGCAATACTTCAATTTTACCAGCGAGCACAGTAAGAAATATCAGAATACCTGATGGTTCAGTCACACACTGGCAGGTTTGGGATACTGGGTGGCATCCACCATCATACTGGTTGAAGAGGCTATTGGAATGGAAATTTCCCACTCCCACCTTCTCCCACCAACCTACTGAAAATGGTACTAAAGGTTAAGGGACCATCCTGCATAGGATGGACTGTGTATCAGAAGACTTAGAGGGGAAAAGGGATCCCTCTAAATCAGATGGTACTATTGTCTGCAGATGGAATTACAGTCACTGGAACTACCTGCTCCAGAGATCCCCCTTCCCCCTCAACTCTGTATGCCATAGAGAACCATTCTAAAGGGTTCCCCAACTCTCCTGTGTACGTTTCAGACGGTTCCAAGAGTTGCTGGACAAAACTATAGTGATGATTTATTCATGTTCCTAAGTGAAATTGTGTAAGCTGCAGCAGCACATTTTTGCTAATGAATGAGACACCAGTTGTATTCCTATTTATATGTCCAGTAAGCAATTAGGAATGCAGCCAGCACCTTGTGAAATAGTAGCAATTGCCTCCATGGCTCACATGACTTCATTTACACATGCATGGATCATCAAGATGATTCCAGCTGTTGAGGCAAACACAAGCTAACTTCCAAGATTGTCTTGGAATCAAAAACAATGCAACTTATTACATAAGAATGAACTTCTTACTACAAATAAATGAACTTAAGAACTTTACTTCAAAAACAGCAGTTAAAATAACATTGCACACTCAAACAAAAGGCCCTCCAAATATTTACTGAAAAAATGTTCACATGTAGACAGGTTTTACACAGCCCCATCACAAAAAGTAAAGAGGTCATTACAAGTTACATCAGAAAATAGTATGTCAACATTCTTAGGCAAAACAAGTTTGTTTTCTGATGCTACAACTTAAACTCAACACCACAGATGCATGTTAAGAAATTTTTTCTGTAATATTCGCTCAAATACTGAGATGCATTTTAAATCAGAACCACTTAAAACTGTTCAAATGTAAAATCAGAACTCAAAGGATGTGACTTACCTCAGGAGGTGGCTCTTCATCATTCTTCCATGATGCATCAGATCCTCTCTCTCTAAAAGACAAGACAAGAGATTTTTTTTAAAAAAAGAATCTACAGGCTAAACAATATTAGGTTAAGTAACTACAGTGGTGCTTCGCAGAACGGTCGCTCCGTAGAGTGACGAATCCGCGCAATGGTGCCGTTTTTGCGATCGCAAAAGCGATCGCAAAACGGCACCTAGATAGGGCACAATTCACAGAGCGAAGGTCGGTAAGTGGTTCGCTTACCGACCTTCGCTCTGCGACCCGCCGATCAGCTGGTTGGTGGGTCCAAAATGGCCACCGTGCGACCCCAAAATGGCCGCGCGCAGCATTTTTGCACCCTTGGTAAGCGAGGGGAGGGCACGAAAATGCTGCCGGAACAGCCGAAATGGCTGCGCTCAGCGTTTTCGCGCCCTCCCCTCGCTTACCAAGGGCGCGAAAACGCTGCGGCCGGCCATTTCGGCTGTTCCGTCGGCCATTTTGGACCCGCCGGACAGCTGATCGCAGGCACTCTCGCACCCTCATTCAGCGAGGGGACGGCGCGAAAATGGCCGCCAGCCGCCCGGAAGCATTGTTGAACGGTGAGTATTCAGCCCAATTGGAACGCATTAAACACTGTTTAATGCATTCCAATTGGTTTTCTTGCCCCGTTCAACGATGCTTTGACACAGCGAGGGTTAATCCGGAACGGATTAACCTCGCTGTGCGAGGCACCACTGTACTGTGTATTCAAGAGATCCTTAAAAAAATACAGTGGTGCCTCGCTTAACAGGCACTCCATTTAGCGATGAAATCGCTTAGTGATGACTTTTTCGGAGCGTTTTTTCGCTTTGTTTAGCGATGGTCCCTATGGGCGATTTTCGCTTAGCGATGGTTGGGACCATGCTTCCCATAGCGATTAAATTTTGCGTCCCGTTTCGCTTAACGATGGTTTAAGCAGCCTCATGTTTGCTGTTTTTTAAATGTTTTTCTGTTATTTATAACGTTAAAGTTTACTGTTTAAAATGTTTGAAATCATAGAGTGCACTTAATAAACCCTTTGTTAACCAAATTTGACTTTGTTCCGACTCTTTTTAAATTTGTTGTTGTATTTTTCCCCCATTGAGATGCACTGAATAGGTTTCAATGCATTTCAATTGGGGAACCGCGTTTCGCTTAGCGATGTTTCCTATGGTGATTTTAGCTTAAGGACGGCAATTTGTTCCTATTGGAACGGATTATCCGGTTTTCAATGCATTTCAATGGGAAACCGTGTTTCGCTTAGTGATGAAATCACTTAGCAGCGATTTTTCAGAACAAATTAACATCGCTAAGCGAGGCACCACTGTAAACTACAAAGCCCAATACAAGGTACAGTTCTCAACATCACCACAAGGATTAAGATCCCTAAGAACCTGTTAGGAACTTACGGTTCTAAGAGGCCCTCCTATTTAAAAGGTGAAACACAGTTCCTGGAGGGTTCCAAAAGACAACCTCATATTTTTATGTGAAATATTTTAAAGCCAGAAGCAAGGGAGTCTGATGAGTCTCCAAAAATAGTCTCAGAGGGCCATATGGGGCCCTAGGGTTGCCTTTTTCCCTCACCTGATATAAATATTTTATGACAGTGGTTCTCTGTGTGTCACAGGATGTCAGATCTGTCAAGTTTGAATAAGGTCTTAAAGCTTTCACACAGGCTATAGAAGTATATAAGGAATAGCACATGAGATGAAGCTGACAGGCAAGACACTGAACATTAGAGAAATAGGACTTTTAAAAACCTTTAAGCAATTTTTAAACATGGCTTTACTCATTTCTAAACTTTAGCCATCCTGAAACTTAGCAGTTAGAAAATGAGCGATAAATTAACAATTATTAAAGCCCCTTCTCAGAATATCTGAAATATATTCAAATTCCTAGGAGTAAGGAATGTAAGACATTTGTTAAATCTGCACTGTGTCAAAATGAAGCAAAGAGGTTTACATTAAATTCAAGCACACAATAATCATATCAAGTCTACTCTAACTCACATTTAAATCAAGACAAATTAGGACTTCTAGAGAAGTAGGTTGTGAGTTTAAAGCCTATGCATCTAAATGAATATTTGCACTTTACAAATCGTCAAAGCACTAATGAACCAATGTTAATCAGAAACTTGTAACATCAACTCTCTCTAGAAGAATAGATTTTAACTGAAACAATCAGGGTATGATCCAGCATGAACCAAAGCCCAGCGCTTCCCGCAAAAGCATCCTACAGGCCTCAAGGCCCTACCTATCTCCCACATTCTATGCACCATGAAATTACTAAGGGAGAAAATGCAGTAATGAGGCATCTGTATGAAAGAAAGTGCATACAGATGCCTCATTCCTTGCAATAATCCCTTGTGCTTTCTCTGCACATGCCTGTGTGCATGTGAGCTGTGGGTAAAGATAAACTCTGGACTGTCCCGATGATAAATGAAATCCCTGGCACACAGATAGGGTATGGCTCTCCAGACATTGTCACACTGCAACCCTCATCAGTCCTAGACCACACATACAAAGGCAGGGGATCATGTGAACTGCAATCCAATAATATCTGGAGGGCTCCATCTCTGCTATAAACAAAACCACAAGGTTAATGTGATGAAGTGTTTAAGTAAGGAAAGGGCGATTGAAAACACAGCAACACTTCAATGATTCCATATTGAAATTTCCTCTTTATTTCAGATTGGTTTAGTTATCTTTTCAGGGGAAGACACACAGTTTAAACTTCTGAATGTATTCCTTCAGTGTGGTTAAAATTGTTCATGAAAAAAAAAATAAAACAGATTAGGATACTTATGTTTGGAGATGGCTTTAAGAGCAACTGAAATTGACATCAGGTCAAATACATAAGCCTTCCATATCATATCACAGGTGAAATGAGGGAATTTTCAGAAAAGTAGAAAGCAACCAACTACAATGATAATTAGTCTTTTAAGAGGCAAGTATTGCTTACATACAGGAGTATATAAATATCAAGGGATAATTTTAAGGTGTATCTAGGCAAGTTGGAAAGCTTAATAAATATATCTTTCTAAGCAATGTGGTTCTAATTCTGAAAGAACTTAATTTTTCAAGTAAAAAATACATTTGAAGATATAATACTTACTGTTTTAATTTTTCAGGAAATATATACTGGGTGAAGCTCTCAACTGATGGAGCAAAGTATACAGCATCATGTATTTTAATACCTTTAGATTCAATATGCTCAGGACTGTTAAACTGCAGTACATAAAATGGATGAGATACAGGACCAAATACTTCGAAGACCTGCAAAATAATGGATATTGTAGCTTTAAAAAAACAAAGTGTTTTCTATAATTACAAGATTGACAGCAAGTGAACTGAGGCACCGAACATAAAATGGTTTTTAAGCATTTTTTGTCAAAATTCTGAAACACAGCTTCAAATGTAATAGTCCTGGAACTACTCCAGGAAATTTTTTATTTTTATTTTTAAAGGATGTGAGTACTCTTCCAATAAAGAACTGAATAATGCTAAAGATAAGGAACAGATTTTAAAAACATAGGCCAGATTCCTGTTGGTGATTTACACATGCATAAGTTAAATTGTGTAACTCTTTTAATTGTGACTTATACTAGTAGGTGCATGTCTCTTACACAATCAGATATGTACACTGTAATGTCTGACACTTCACTGGCTGTTAGCAATTTACTGCTATGTTATGTAGTTTAGCCCAGAGGTCCCCTACCCCCCAGTCCACAACCCAGCAGCAATCTGTAGCCTATCCAGGACCAGGCCGCGGACACAAATCTCCTAACCCCCTGCAAGTGCCCCCCCATGAGCACCGTTGCATGCATGTGCATGTGCAAGTTCCGCCCCCTGCAGGTATGCCACACACACCCCCACTGGTCCGCACCTGGGAAAAGGTTGGGGACCGCCGATTTAACCTATATATGCATAAAACACCCACAAGATTCCAGCCAGTGTGAAAAGAATACATTTACAAAAAGAGTTCAGATGCAGTTACAGGAGATAAAAAGGCAGGTCCACCTATTTATAAAACTTATATAAAGAATGGTGCAACCAACCACACATCTGATTGTGTCACACAGTACTAGTGCCGTACTTGCCAGGTATTTAAAGTAGACATGGGGATGACTATTTTTTTAAAAAATCAGGATATTCAAGGAATATCCCTGATTCGTCAGATATTTGTTGCTCATATTCTTGGGGCCCAGAGACCCCAACAAATAGGAAGCAACAAATATAACACTTTTATGTCCCTTTGTTCCCTATCTGCTTATGCCCCTGCAGATAAATTGTTTGTCAGGGGCATAAGCAGAGAGGGATTTTCCCTTTGGGCAGCTTGCAAAACCCTGCCCAAACAGAATCCCAACCCTGGGGTTGGGGGATGGCTTGGTTCCCCTTTGCTCCTCTTCCTATACCCACATGGCATAGGAAGAGGGAAAGGATCAAAGCGATCCCCAAGCCCCGCTGCCAAAGAGGGAAAGGATCAAAGCAATCCCCAAGCCCCGCTGCCTTTGTAAAGATAGTGGAGCTGCGGGATGCCTTGGGTTCCACTTTCCTCCTCTTCCTATCTCCCTGCGGGTGCATAGGAAGAGGAAAATGGGACCCAAGCCATCCCACAGCCCCGCTGCCTTTGCAAAGACAGAGGGGGTTGGGGGATCGTTGGGTCCCCCTTTGCTCCTCTTCCTATACCCCAGAGGGAATAGAAAGAGGAGTGTAGCCTGTCAAAAGTGATCCCCCATCCCCGCTGTCTTTGCAAAGGCAGCAGGGGTGGGAGATTGCTTGGGTCCCCCTTTTCTCCTCTTCCTATGCTCAAGTGAGGATAGGAAGAGGAGCATAGATTGACCTAACCGATCCCTCAGTCCCACTGTCTTTGCAAAGACAGTGAAGATGGGGGATAACTTGGGTCCCCATTCCCTCCTCTTCCTATGCCATGGCATGGATAGGGAGAGAAGCCTGTCAGAAGCGATCCCTCATCCCTGCTATCTTTGCAAAGTCAGCGAGGCTGGGGGATCGCTTTGATTCCTTTCCTCCTCTTCCTATGCCTCACAGCATAGGAAGGCTGTGGGGGCTGGGGCTTTTTTTAGATGGCCCAAGGGGTCTACTCTAAGATACTGTCCAACTGACCCACTATATGAGTCAAGAAGCATACAGGCAGAAAGCCACACAACGATCACGTGGACCTGTCAGAACTGCTGGTAAGAGTGTTATGAAACATCTACAACCAGAGATGTCCATCTGAACTCTGATCTTGTTTCTCTCTCTTCTTTCCTAAAGCGGACTAATTAAAAGTGTACATCTCTTGTTAAGTAGTTATACTACTTTGTTAGTCAGAAATAACTTAAGGCTTACTTATTTCACTGGATCTACTCTAGATAGGGCTAATACTGGATTTAACCCTTTCTCAGCATGCCTATTGAACTGATACATTGATTTGGTTATCTTCCAAAAATGTACCCTGTAAAATACATATAAAAGTAATACCTTTATGCTAGTAACATTTTAAATTTTCATTTGCCATTCAGAAGTACTCACAACACCAGCAACAATGAATAAAAATATGCAGACTGTACCATGCACAGAGCACAAACAGGCAAAGACTGCATGGAAGTGATTTGCTTACCTTTCCTATTGAATGATGATCATCTTTGAAAAACACAGTATCTTCATTCACAGGTGGAAGTCCCTTCTCTGACTCTATTATTACTAAAAGTGAAACATTAAAAATGCTGAAAAAAATTTACAAATTCAAAGGAAAACTAAAGGAAACTAGTTATTCTTGTGATCATTCTGTGACAAAGATATGTAAATATATGCCAAGAACATATTCAACTTCCTCACAAAAATGAACACAAAAGTGTAGACACACAACAATTGGGCAACTCAAAGATGAGGTCTGTCACTTTCATTCAGTCTCCCCACATTTTCCTCCTATAATTTCAACAGTGGTGGCAATGAAACACACAATGATTTCACAACCAGCCAGACTTTATGACTTATACCATTTCCACTTCCCTGGATGAGAAAAAGATCAGCAAGCAGGAGGCATATTGAAATGACTCCCTACAGCAAACAGCAACTTATCACAGAAGTGCTGATGCCAGAACCTCTCTGAAGGTACTCCTGTGGTAAAGCTGACAGAAAACTACTGTTAGCCTGCCATTATAATCTGCCAGTTTCTAGTCTTGCTTTTCATTTATTTGTTGTTTCAAATTAGGAAGCTCAACTGTTTTATAAAATTGTAGTCACCTTTATCAGAAATTAGTAGATGCCTATCAGACTGTGATAACTCACCATTAAGGATGGCATAGACCGAGGAGAGTATAATTAAAGGTCAAGAAAAGCTATTATAACACTTTATTAAATAATTAGGTACCAATCCAATTAATGGGAAATAATATTAAACTGAACTGTAATCAACCTTGCCTAGGTAACGTATATTGTTCTCACAGACATCCCTTTCAATACCTGAAATTATACTTACTTAACACTATTAAAAATGAGTCAATTTTCAAAGAAACACAAACACATAATGCAAATATTTCAAGGACTATTTCATAAAAATGTAAATTGCTCTTAATTATCCAGCAAATGTTTAACATTCACTATTGGGAAAGCAAGATGTGCTTGTAACATTTGTCAATACAATTATTCCCTGAAAGAAAATCATTAAAGGCAGCATAATATCCAATATTTTACATGCTAAGTATAATACAAGCTGTATAGTACAATCAATATAAAAAGGAGGTAGTCTAATTTCACCATTCCTAGAGCTGCATAAGGTAAGATCATCCTATAGTGTGTCTAAGGTAGCATTATGGTACACAGTGACTGCATATATGGGCAGCAAACCACTCTTACCAACCGCATGCTACCCAAGTACCTAATGTCCAAGGTATCTGTGAAGATTCTCAGTCATCCAGGTGAGGTTATTTGGAAGCTGATTCATGGCAACTAGACTGCTTTCCAATTAGGTTGAAATGTTTTGCTACTCGTCCAAGTAGCTTCTTCAATCTAAGGAGAGTTGGTAGGAGATCCCTGATATATCCTCCACATTGGTTTCACTTCCCCCTGGTCTGAATAGGCTCCTTAGATGGACAAAGGNNNNGAGTAAAAATCCCACTTCTGCAGTCCTCCTCCACCCATTGTCATCGGTTGTTAACAGTCATTAACAGTGGTCTTTCTCGTGTGTGGTCCTGATCTTTCTGGGGACTGATGAAAGGACAGCATGTTTAGTGGCTGTTTGGTTTCTCCAATACAGAGCTCCAAACACTCCTCTTTGCACTGGACCACATATACTATAGTGTTCCTGTTCTGTTCGAGTGTCCAGTCTTTTGGGTGGACAAGTCTTCTGCCTTATGGTTTTTGTGGGTTTGGAGTGTACTGGTATGTGGTGTTTGCCAAAAATCGTTTTGAGCTTTTCAGACACACCTGCCATGTAAGGAATGCCTAGGTTCTTCCATTGCCAAGGTTCTCAAACTGTTCCATTGTTCTGCTGGCTTAGGACACTGCCTTGTTGTTTTGGTGGGTTTGGAGTGCACTGGTATGTGGTGTTTGCTAAAAATCGTTTCGAGCTTTTCAGACAAACCTGCCATGTAAGGAATGCCTAGGTTCTTCCATTGCCAAGGTTCTCAAACTGTTCCATTGTTCTGCTGGCTTAGGACACTGCCTTGTTAAAGGCCCATTTTGGATATCCACAGGCCTTAAGAGCTGTCTTCAGATGCCCATCTTCCTTCTTCTTGGCCTCTGTATAGAGGTGAGGATGTTTCTTGCTCTGTGCTTTAACATCCTGATGACCCCTAGTTTGTGTTGCAATGGGTGATGAGAATCAAAGCGCAGGTATTGATAAGTGTGTGTAGGTTTTCTGTGGATTTCTATTCCTAAACTGCCATTGGATCCTATGATAACTGCACAGTCCAGGAAAGCCAGCCAGTTAGTTGTCTGTGGTGTCTTCCCTGGTGATATTGCTGTTTGGGTCCACTATGTTTATGTACGACCAGGCTGTATATTGTCCCCCAGCTTATTTAATTTATATACAAAATACATCATGCGAAAGGCCAGGCTGGAGGAATCTCAAGCCGGAATTAAGATTGCCAGAAGAAATATCAACAACCTCAGATATGCAGGTGATACCACTCTGATGGCAGTGAGGAGGAATTAAAGAACCTCTTAATGAGGGTGAAAGAGGAGAGTGCAAAAAATGGCCTGAAGCTCAACCTCAACCTCAGTCACTTGTCTCATCACCTCCTGGCAAATAGAAGGGGAAGATATGGAGGCAGTGACAGAGTTTACTTTCTTGGGCTCCGTGATCACTGCAGATGGTGACAGCAGCCACGAAATTAAAAGATGCCTGCTTCTTGGGAGAGAAGTAATGACAAACCTCAACAGCATCTCAAAAAGCAGAGACATCACCTTGCTGATAAAAGTCCGCATAGCCAAAGCTATGGTTTTTCCTGTAGTGATGTATAGAAGTGAGGGCTGGACCACAAAGGAAGCTGACCGCCGAAGAATTGATGCTTTTGAATTATGGTGCTGCAGGGGACTCTTGAGAGTCCCCTGGACTGCAAGGAGAACAAACCTATC